GGTAGTTCTTCCAGTATTTAATCATCCTTACTGTTAGAAAGCAGTGGTTAGACATAAGGAAGAACTGTTTCTCTCAGAGAGTGGTCAGGCACTGCAATGGCTGCGCAGGGAGGTGGTGCAGTCGCCATCCCTGGCAGTGTTCAAGAGGCATCTGGATGAGGGGCTGCGAGATATAGTTTAGTGCTTGTGGTGGCAATGGTGATGAGGAGACGGTTGGACTAGATGATCTTACAGGTCATTTCCAACCTTGTGATTCTATGATTCTGTGATAAGGTCTCAATACTGCACCTTGTTTCTAATTTGAATTTTTGGGCTTCAAACTCTAGCCATTGGTTTTCATAATCGTCTTTTTCCACTAGATTAAGGAGCCCTTTAAAACTGCTACATTCTCGTGATAAAGATACTTATACGACCTAATCAAATCACCGTCAGGCCGTCTGCTGGATTTAATAAAAAGAAAAATCTATTTATTTTGTAGCAGCACTTAGAGGCCCCAGTCACAGAGAGAGGTCCCGAGGGATGGACGCTTTTCAGGGCTCAGTTTTCAGGAACCTGAAGCCCGCTCCTCTTCTCTGTCAGGGATTTTTGATGTGCCCTTGGGCACATCACTCAGCCGCTTTGCTTCTTGGCTACTCTCCAGCAGGATGGGAATTCCAAGGTTTGCTCCTCGGAATACACATGTTACAACTGTCAAGTGCAGAGGGAGCAATGTTAGTCACTGAGCTGAGCACTGTAGAAGCACTTAACAAATGGCAATCCTTAATCATTGTCTAACTAACCGAAAAAAGCACCATCTGCATGTTGGATATAGATCGAGGTTGAGTATCTCCTGTACTGAGCTCTACAACAAGTGCCAATCACGGTTGCTGTGTCTGACATTAAAGCAATGGCAGTTGCTTGTTTTTTTATCAACACAGCAACCTCCTCTTTATGAAACACGAAGGGCTGGCACCAAGCAACACCATACCTCAGCTGAGTAGTTCGGGTTTGAGAACCCTGAGTGATACGGACAAACCTCTAAAGTCAGGATGTATATTTGCTATTAGCTACTGCTCACTCTTAATTACCCATTCCCTTTATTTGTCTCCCTTTAATGGTATGTCAACCAGCATTTTCCAACCCCTCACTCAGAGACTGATTTGCCAGGAAGGTGGGTACACATTTGCTCCTGTTGCAGGCATGTGTTTAGCCATGGGCAGAGCTGTGCTAGCAGTTACACAACCTGGATCCACAATCTGGATTAATTCCACAAAAACGCTTCAGGTTTCAGCTGATCCGTTTGCCTGCCGAATTACCCTCGCTGCACCCAGGTGGGTGCTTGTGCCAAACCACCTGAAGCTGAAGCCTGGCATGCTGAACCACCCTCATGGGAGGATCCTATGCAGAATGGTGCTAACCCTCGGAATGCTAGCATCTCTCCTGCAGGTGCCCATCAGAAATACAGCAGCATCATTTCACTCTTATTTACTGAGAGGGAAAGGGAGCGGTTCGCTTGATGTCTCATTCCTCAGAGTCTTTTGGTCTGCACAGGGAGGTGTGCACGCATGATGCTTTCTTCTCACCAAGATATTGCATGAAAGCACAGACAGGGAAGGTCCAGGGTTTCTCCATACCTGGCTTACCCAGAGAATCATCAAATCACAGAATGGCCCGGGTTGCAAAGGAGCACAGTGCTCATCCAGTTCCAACCCCCTGCTGTGTGCAGGTCACCAACCAGCAGCCCAGGCTGACCAGAGCCACATCCAGCCTGGCCTCGAATGCCTGCAGGGATGGGGCATCCACAGCCTCCTTGGGCAACCTATTCCAGTACCTCGCCATCCTCTGGGTGAAAAACTTCCTCCTAATATCCAACCTAAACCTCCCCTGTCTCAGTTTAACACCATTCCCCCCTGTCCTATCACTATCCACCCTCACAAACAGCTGTACTAATGTGTCCATGCAGCAGTTACTGACTCCAAATGCTCACATTTTGCCTCACATTAAAACATCAGTCAGGGTAGAGTTAAACTCACACCTTCTCAAGCGTTCACCTGCATTTGCAAATAAATCAGCCGTAAGAACAACTTAGACAGCCTCCTCCTACATCGTTTCTCCACTGAAAGACGTGGGAGAATGGCAGTGGTGCTGCCTGCCTTTCCACAGCTCTGCCAGTATCCAGGTATCACACTGAATTTCTCAGGATCTTGTATGGATTACAGTGCTTTCATTGCAACCTCAGGCTGATTCACACTTGCTCTGAGAGCCTGCACTGACATATTAAGAGCTGCTCCAGGGGTGAGTGGCAGCACTGGTGGGTGCGTTGCAGTAGTGCTTTGGAGGATGCTGCAAGTTGGACAGTGCTTCAGAGCCCATAGCCCTGCAATGTGAGCTGCAAACGATGTGAAGGGTAAAGCAGTACTTCTGTCCTACCTGCAGGAAAGAGAACTCCATGATTTGCTCCCTCCATTTCAGCGCAGCCTTGATTTTGAAGGCTGTTGGCATAAGGACTTTATAATGTGCTGGGTTTAATGGAGGTCTCAGGTGTTCTTCTCTTGGGTGCACAGGAAGGGGCAGATCAGCACCTTATCCTGCCACGAGTCGTAGCTGCCTCCTCCAATTTGCCCCTCACATTCAGAACTATTTCCAAGCAGCTTGCTATGAACCAGCCTGGCCTCATATGGACTGCAGAGATCACAGCAACAAGTACAATGTGGTAAAAAGCATTGAAATAACAACTGCAACAAAAATAAAACCAAACATCCATCTCAGCAGTGTGGGACTATTTTTGTTTAAAAAAAAATAATAATAAGAGACATTTCAGGCAACACTTTGTGTTAACAAACCCAAACAGCAACGTTTGGAAGTAAATACTCAACATCTAGAGCTCTATTGCTACTGCAAGACTCCAAGGTCAAACCTTGCTCTGAAGGATACCGATACGTGGATTAAAACAAAACAATTGTAAGGATTTCGGAGAGCCACGTCCCAAAGAATAAATCACCCACGCAGCTGTGAGTGTGTCGGATTACTGCAGCGGTGAGAGAGCTGCTGTGCACACGCACACTACAGCACAACAGGCTGCAGCATCCAGAGCCGGTGCTGTGCACGCATGCAATGCATTTGCAGCCATAGAGCAGCCAAGTGCCTAGCAGCAGGCATTTGGAAAGGCAGCTGATAGCCACTGCACTATGCAACTGTGCCCCTGAGCTTTTCCAGCAGGACAAAGGAGCAGATTGCACTGTGCAAAAATCCCATGTCATAAAGACTTTGGGCGTGTTTGCTGTTGGAAAAGGAAGCTGAGACCCACAACCTGTAGGCCCACACCTTGAGATACGTTTAACTCTGGGGCAGATTCCAACTCACACAAAGAAAACACTGGCATGGAGGACAGCAGGACTTATCTTCCAAGAGTTTGGAAAGCCCGATTCCAGACTTTGAAGTGCGTTTACTCACTGCTGCCAGCCCTGTCAGCAATGGACAAACTGTTTCTCATCGTGTTGCTCTGTTTCCCATGTATGCACTAGAGATGATCCACTTGCCACAGCTGAAACAGATTTGAGGGCTGTAAATCGGGCACTTCATATGACAGTAACTGAGGTTGCAGTTGTAATGACCCACGTGAGCCTGCTTTAAACTCCACGTGGTTGGTGCAGGAGAAAAGCAGGACGAGAAACCAGACCGTGTCCTGGAGAGGGTGCAGAAAACTGCCACTGCCTGCACATGGTGCTGGAGCTGGGGAGGAAATACATACAAATGTATTTGCTAATATATAAAATATTTGCTAATATTTTATTGAAGCGTTAAGTTACTGCACGTATCCGTCTCTGCACTGAGCACATCAGGTCAGTGTCTGGTGGTTCTGAGACTTCAATTTTCTGGATTCAAGCATGGGTTTTACCGACAACTTCCAATGTGACTTGGGAAAACGACAGTTTCTCTACCTCATTAAAAAGGAATTGGCTCTGTGAACCAGCTCAGGCTGCAGTCAGCACACCAGATCCTCCCTGTCCCATTTTTACATTGGTGCTTCTCTCTGCATGAAATCCATAGTGCGGCTGGACGGGACCACATGAGCTTCAGCAGCACTCAGTGCTCCCAGGATGCCATCGGTCCAAAATGTGTTTTTGTCCCACCACAAACGAGGGACAGAGGCAATTCCACCAGCAGAACCAAAGCCCGCAGCAGCGCTTCGGAGATGGAGCTCCTCGCGGAGATCCGCCATCCCTGGCCAAGAGGGGTGGCTCGCAGCTGCTGCAGCTGGAAGCGCTGCTGCTGGCGCGGGGCCACGGAGCCTTCGGGTCGGCCCCTGCTCAAGAGCCAACGGGCCAACGCACCTTTTCGGAAGCTACAGGGCACAGCGGTGCTGGCCTCGAGTCAGCCGGCCCGGGGCGGGACCGGCGTCCGTAACCTCGTGCCCGGCCGCACGGAGCCGAGCGGCGAGCCTCGGGCTGACGTTACATCGCGCCCACTCCAAAACAGCCTCCCAACAGCCGGCGTGCCTTCGGGCCACCCCGACGCCTCTCGCTCGTCGGCAGCGGCCTGCTAACCGCAACCACACACCGACAGCCCCCGGGGAGCGCCGAGCCGAACCTCCCGGAGGCGCCGAGCCGGAACCCCGCGCGCCCGGCCGACCCCCGAGCGGAGGGGGCCCGCGGGGAGCGGCGCATGCGCGGCGGGGCGGCGGGGAGGGGGGCCGGAGCGGGGCGGGGAGGAGGCGGCGGGGCGGAGCGGGGCCGGGCCGGGCTGCCCGCCGCCCGCCTATTTGAGGGAAAGTAGCGGGGCGCGGGCGCTCAGTGCTGGCCGCCGCCGGGAGGCAGCGGGGCGAGCGGCCGCCGGTCGGTGCCTTTTTTCCTTCTCCCCGCTCCCTTCCCCCCCCCCCCCGCCCCAAACCACCCCGTTGGTGGCCCGGGGGGGGGGGGGGGGGGGAGCCGCCCCGCGGGGCCGCCTCTGCCCCTTCCCCGCCGCGCTTTTAATGGAAACATGGCGATGGCGGCTCCGACCGGCAGCGCTGCGCCCGTCGCCCCGGCGCTCTGCGGCCACCTGGCCCTGCTGCTGCTCCTCGCCGCCCCCGCCGCGCACGGCTACAGCTTCCCCCAGCAGCACACGTAAGTGCCGCCGCCGGCCCGGGACCCCCGCCCGGTGCTGCGGGGCCTGCGCGGGGGCCGCGGGCGGAGCCGCTCCTCGGGCGGGCGGGGGGCGCCGCTGCGGGCGGGGGCGAACGGCGGTCCCGAAGTTGCCGCGGAGCGCAAACTTCCCCGGGCGGCCGCCGCATCCCCCGCCGGGGGCGACGGCTTTCGCGTCGTAGTCCCGAGCGCGCAGAGCCGTGCGTTCCCCCCCTTCCCTTTCGCCCCTTCCTCTAGTCGGCCGGCCGGTCGCGGATGGACGGCCTCGCGTCTGCCCGCTCACCTGGCGGCGGGGCCGGGGGCTGTGAGTAGGGAGGTGGGCTGGGGGCAGGGAGCCGCTGGGGGCCGTGCCGGGCAGCGCTGGGCTCGGTACCGTCGGAGCCCTGCGCACGGGCAGGCGGTATCTTAGCCGAGATGTATTTTAAGAGCCCGTCGTCTCCGTTATGAAATGCTGCTTGTTGACACAAAAATTGTGTGTGTGGAGGGGGGAGGGTGAATACATCCCGACGATTCAAAGTAGAGGCTGCCACCGTGTCCTTACAGGCGGTGATTCTGGAGGTGGGGGAAGATTTCAATGACACGGAGTTAATAATAGCAGCACTGCCCTTAACTTTGCGCTGCCCCGGTGCATAGGCACTGCTCCGTGCCACAATCCTCTGCCATTTCTGATTTGCTTAAGAATAGGAATATATATACATATGTCATACAAAGTATTTTTGAAAGCCTTTCAGATGAGCGTCTTTGATCTCTGAGTGCGTTTTTCCAGGCGTGCATTCAGGCCTTCTGAAAAGAAGGCTTATTGGCAGGAGGAACGGTGTTGTTTATTCGGGAGAGCTGCAGCTTACCCTGCTAATATCTGCTTCGATGGAGGCACGGCTGTTTGCGCTCCTTATTTCATCAGGAACAGCTCCCGTTCAGACACGTCCCTCCTGAATTCTTTTGGGTCTCGCATCCGCGTTTTTAAATCTCTCTGACCTTTGAGAGCTGGCGGGATCCCGTGCCTTGCCACCACGTACGTGCAGAAATCCTTCTGAATAAAACCCTGAGAAACGTCTACCTACAGGGGGAGAAGCAGGAAGGGAACGTGCCTTGCTCGCTGAGTACCGGGGCCTGGCGGCCCCATCCTGTGCCTCTGCGTGCTGCTCCTTCTGCTGGGAGAATCCCTATCTGAGTCCCGGGAGTTACGGATGTGTGAAGCACTGCTGAAGTTTGTGGGGCGCTTTCAGTATTTCAGCTGCTTGTCCAGGGGTTGTGTGTCAGCTGTTGCTTTTTCTTCTGTTTTGTGCCGTAAATCCTCTCTGGGCAAGCGGAGTTGTGCTTTCCTTATAACTGCAGAAAGTTTTTTCTTTTTCATAGAGAAGGTTCTTGTGCTGGGGCAGACATCCTTAGGAGATGTGTAATTTGTGGATAATGCACCAGCCTCCCCCCTCACCCAGCCCGGTCACTACCTATGATGTCCCAATAAACTGCGCCAGCTTTTTGACCAAAGCAGCTTTATTCCAGTTCACTTGTTGGGGTTTACGGGCCACATGCTGTTAGCTCTGTGCTCTCCTGCTTGCAGTGGCATTACCAAACAGGCCTGACCTGCACTAACAGAGGCAATACATGTGAAGCAGCACACTGCTGGCAGCGATGTGCAGTTCACAGCTGAAGGCATGGTCCTGAAAAGGCCGCAGGCTGAGTGCGTGCCTCGGTGGGGAGCAGCACTGGTGTGCAAGAGGAGGCATGGAAAGGATGCGAGACCTCAGCCTGACCTGCTGCCTCCATACTCGTGTCGTTCTCCTTGTGACCCGCTTGGTGAGCTTGGAGAAAATAAGAGTCATGGATGGAGATCTGATGATGATGCAGTTGCTGGGCAGTAGGCAGTGCCTGTCGCGTGTGGGCTGGAATGTTGCACTGTGCCCCAAGGCCTCTGAGCTTGTCTCTAAGGAGAGATGTATTTGATGGGAATGAGAAGTGCGATGGCAGCTGGCACCAACGCTCAGATAATGCCTCCGTCGACTGTTCCCTCTGAGTGGCTCCCTGTCTGCGCCCTTCTGCTTTCTGAAGGTGTTGGATATAATGGGAATCATTTCTGAAAGGTGTGTCGGTCAGCAGCTGGGCCGTGCTGCTGGAGCAGCCTGCTGAGCTCTCCCAGACACTGGCTTTTCTCCTCCTTCGGACAACGCACCCTTGCAACAAGAGCAAATGATACAGAGCCTGATGAGAAACCTTGTTTGTGGGGGTTTCTCTGCAAATCGCCGAAGTCGCATTGGGCTGTCGGGCTCGCAGTGTTCAGCAGCACAGAGCTGTCCTGTGCTGCCTGGATCAGGAGGAGCGATGAGGGCATTTTGCTGGGAGCGAAGGGGAGAAGAAAAAAATGGAGATTAATTTTTCTTTTTCCTTTACCACAATTTTATTAATTGTCATCAGTGGTTTCTGCGTGTTGATGCTTGGTTCTGTCCCTGATAAATCTCTGGTGCTGCACATTATCTTTCTCCTCCTGGGTCGCATGGCTTTAATCATCTTACGCAGAGCTACGGCTCAGCCAGTTGTGCAAAGGGGAATTGCTCATTGAGATTTAAAGAGCAAAATCCCAGATTGGAACGAACCCATCAGGGTGGGTATGTTAGGTGATGCCTGCTGGCTGACTGGGCTCCTCTCAGGGCACTCGTGTACAAGCGTGTGTCTGTGCAGCCAGCGGGATTAGCAGCTGTCGGAAAGGAAGCTGTTGGCTGCTGCTAATTCTTCTGTTCAATACTGCAGGGAGGGATCGCTGTGGCAGCACGGAGCTGTGTGAATTGCTGGGAGATGTGGCAGTGGGTGGCCGAAGCCTGGTCATCGGGTCAGCCCTGCGCCTGCAGTGCCATCTCCTCCCGTTAGGAGCGCTGGGGGACGTGGCTGTCTGAGGAGGGAGCAGCCCCCTCCTTGCTCTGCAGCAGGGCTGTGTCGTTTGGGCTTGAAGGGAAATTGCCATCTGCTGAGGTGGCGAGCCGTTTGCTTCCTGCGAGGAAGCAGGTGTGCAGGGAGCTGCGTGCCTGCTGGCGAGGCACGGGCAGAGATGCCTGCAGGGAGAGGCCCGGAGACCTGAGCCGGTCCTGCCCTTCCAGCACGGCGTCACAATCTGCACCAGGCCTTGAGGTGTTTGTTGTGCCACGTGCCCGAAGTTCCTGCTGAGAGCCATGGGGCTGATGGGTGCCCATCACCACTGGAGGGTGGGCTAGAGGTTGCCTCCACCTAATTAATTGCTTCCTTTCAGCAGGCTTTGATTTGTGCTTGTGTCGTTTCGTCCTAAATGAGGTTAACGATGCTGGTAGTGTTGGCACATCTGGACTAGCAGGGCTTGAAATAAATAACTCTATTAGGATTGGATGTTTGAGGGTTTGCAGGATGCTGTGTAGCGGGATTCCCTTCTCTTGTTCTGCCGCTTGCCTGCTGTGCAGTCAGAAGATCTCTTGCAATTGTGGTTTTGATGCCTGGGAAAGGACCTTGTTGGGAAAAGAGCAGGGAGGAAGCATGACGACGGTCCTGCTTGTCTTCTGTTGCACATGGCTGAGCAGCCAGCCCGCTGGGAGGGCAGTCGTGCCCCAGTGCTTGACGTTGCATTGCTCCCTCTGGGAGGGCGAGGAGAGCTCGTGCTGCTGCAGACACAGGCAGCAGTGGCCCTGCTCTGCAGCACTGGCACTGCTCTTTGGGTGTGTGGGGAAGCCTGGACAGCAGTAGGGACAGCAGTCATTTGCAGTATTTCTTTGACATTATTGGTGTTTTCTCCCTTGGAGTTCTGGATGCTTCCTACTCAGCTCAGACTGGGAACAGCTGTTTATGAACCTGTGTCTGGAAGTAGGGAAGGAAACCGGGACAGCTTCCTTGAGGAGGAGTGGGCAGATAAAGCACAGCATATCAGGCTTGCACATGCTGTCACCTCCTGGCTCAGTTATTAAGCATATTTTGGGATAAACAGCTACCAAGGCCTAGCAACTTATTTCTGTGGTTCTCAAGGTTCTCCCATATCTTCCTCATTCCTTTTCTTTCCAATTTATCCTCAATCCCTTGTAGCAATAACTCTCAGGTAGGTGTAGGGGACCTGCTTCATCTGTACAGCCAGTGCTTGGTGCTTGATAGGCATGCAGTACAAACCCACCGTGATTCTGGAGGCCCTGAATGGAAACCTGAATTTATCCTTGAGCAGACCTGGTGTTCGGCTTCAAAAGCCATTGGAAAGGCTCTGGAGGGTTTAAGTGCTGGGACATCTGTGCACAGTAACATTGTACATGTGCACAAACTGTAGGATTTACACATTGTTTCTTTTCCAGCAATGAGACATTCAAGTGGGATGAAATAAAAGGGAAAGTCATTACCAAGCAGAATACTTGAGTGAAATATTCAGGAAGAAAGGGCACTTTCTGAATGCTTCCATATTTACTTCCTCAGGAGCCACTTGAAAGCAGAATGTGTGCAGAATCCTTTTTCCTCTCTGCTGGTGTTGGTAGGACTTGGATGTCATTCCTGTGATCTGGCCTTCATCTCCAGGTCTGCTGTTGCTGCGTTGCAGAGGGAGAGGGGTTGTACAGCTTATTGTTGCACTGGATCCACGAGATGTTGGCGTGGCTTTCTTCAGTCTGCATGAATTGAGGTTGCAGAAAACACATGCTGGATTCTCAGTGCAGCTTTGACAGTGGTCCTACAAATCTTTCAGTCTTAGCCATTATCTGTAGGTCATAAATTCCAGGAAAAAATAAAATTATCCAGAGCGAAGAATTAATTCATCAGCCATGAAGAAGAGCATCATGCACTGATGGATGCAAGGGATTGGGCTGCTCTGGCAGATCAGCTCAAGGCAGGTGGAAGGCTGCAGGGAGAGGGCTGTTGTGACCTGGCTGGACAGGCTGCACACTCTGTGGCTCCATGTCCATCCACCATTTGTGTGTAGCTGTTGTTGTTGCCTACAGTTGGGCCGCTGGTGCTGGTGCAGAGTGACTGCGTTGCAGTGCCCCTTCCACAGG